CACTGTGGCAAGCAGTATGGCAATTCCTTAAAAAGTTGAAAGTAGAAATATCTTTTGACCCAGCCATTCCATTACTAGGCATATATCCTAAAGAAGTGAAAGCCAGGACAAGAACAGACATATGCAACCCATGTTCATCAGAGCACTATTTACAATAGCCAGAACATGGAAACAACTTAGGTGTCCATCAACTGAACAATGGATAACCAAAGTATGGTACATACACACAATGGAATGCTATGCAACCTTAAAGAATAACATAGAATCTGCAAAACACCTCATAACATGGATGAACTTGGAGGACATTATGCTGAGTGAAATAAATCAATCACAGAAGGATAAATATTATATTAGTCTGTTATGATCAAAAATCAAGGAAAGGTTTCTATATGGAAGGAAATTTTCTTTGTTGATTATCAGGGGGTGGGAGGGGAGGAAACACTGGTAGATAGGTAGTTAAAAAGAAAGAAAGAATGTATATAGTCCAGTTTGGTACGAGTGTGAGTTATAGTCTGGTTGGAGATTAATTCTTAGTACAAGTGAAGTAGGGCCAAACGTAGGTCCCTGCCCAGTGTGCAATGGGCCAAATGGGCCAAAATAATTCACATACCAAGTGATTAAAAGGAGAGAAAATTATTTGTTGCAAAGCAGCAATGCAAGGAGACAGGGGCTAGTACCCAAATCTGACTCCCCAGATGGATTCAGTTTTATAAACTTCAGGAGAGGGGGCTTATACATACTTATAAAAACTTTAGGAATTTGGGTGTGAATTAACTGAGGATTGGCTGAGGTTTCCTGGCTTCAGTTTAAAGGGACAGTCAATTTTTAAAACAGTGCACTTTCGTACTGGATGAGTCACATTGGCTTCCTGTCATTAGCTGATCAAGTCTTGGGCAGAGGGGAGAATGTCAGTTCCCAGCAAATTTGTCCCCATTTTTCTCATTGCACATGTCCACGAGCCAAAGTTGATTTTCAAGTTGTTTCCTGAAGCACAACTTTAAGGAACTCATTAACATACCTATCCACTTGTTTCTAGGTAGATAACATGGAGAAGGATGTATGACTTGACCTTTCATTCTATTCAGTTTTTAAGGAACTGAGTTATCATGTTTACTTATCTGCCTCCAACCAAGGTAACAAACAGGATGCAAGCTGAACTTTGATTCTACTGGGCTTCACAAGTCTTTGAAGAAAGTATTTATCTTCAGTTATCTGTATTTATTTGATTATTTTTATTGGACCACCTTATTAAAAGATACATTCTTCTAAGCTTGAATAGAATAAAATGTATTATTACAATTCATAGATATGGTAAATATTTCCAACACATTTCTTAATCAATAAGCAAATAATAATACTCACTGCCATTGGGTCAGTTCTGACTCATAGAAACCTCTTCTTGGATTTCCAAAGAGGTATTTCTACAGAAGTAGACTGCCCAGGCTTCTTTCCAAGGAGTTTGAACCGCTAGTCTTCTGGTTAGCAGTCAAATGCCTTAAGGCACTATCCTACCAGAGCAAATAATAATAATTTTGTACTGATTCCTCTGTCCTCTCATTATGCTTACCTATGCCCACTTTGTGGCCTTCCTTTGGCTCACCTCACTTTAGCCATCTAAGTCAAATAATAAGTTCTACAATGTGCATCTATATTTCTCTTCATGTCTGTGTATATGATTCCACACAATCTGTTCCCATTCCTCCCTGAGTTCTGTAAGCTCAGTATGAAGTCAAACTTGGTCTCTTATAGATCATAACCCTAACTGCTCTAGAATTGATTTTATATCCAAACATGTTCATACAGTCCTGCCCTGAAAGATCTTTATGTTATAAATGGTAGGAGTAACTAACAATTTGTCAAGCACTGCAACACTTCAGTAGATCATTGAATTCAGTGCTCAATACTTAGTACACTTAGTATATGTGAGGTAATTTTAGGCTCATCTGAGTAATGAATTGTAACAAGAATGCAGAAAAAATGATGTATAGTTTTGTGAACCAGCAGAGAAGAAAAGATTGTGAAGTCTTTGAGAGAATGAAATGTTCCTTTTCTTTCCCCACCCCCCATCAAAGGAACAGGAAAACAAAAAGTGTTCACATCACAGATTTGCATTTTTGTCTGAAAATTTAATCTTTTTATTTGGCCTTTTCTGAGCGGAGCTACAATCAGTTTGTTTTGTTTTCTTTTTAAGATTGTGTTTTTAATTTCTAGGTACAAGCCAGTTATGATGTGATGCGCTATGAAAATATGTTCTTCCTCTTCTGGGTTCTGGAACAACTTCTTCAAAAGGAAACTGAAGAAGGCAACACTTCAAGTAGAAGGCATGATGACCAAGAAATAAAGAAATTTCTTCAAAAACATGATCAAACTATTTTCCAACTCTCTGATTCGTTCCCTTTATTTACTTTTTACTTATGGAGACTGGGCATTCTCTTTAACTCAGCAGAGATAGGAAGTACTGAAAATAACTCACTTCCTTAGCAAATATTTAACAAGTAACAGAAACCTATTAAAAGTGAATATATGAAGATCTCATACTTAAAGAATTTTAAAGAATGTTTTTTTAAACTGAGCATTTTTAAATAGATCTCTAAATAGAAATCATTAATTTGATTTAATGGCTAGTCTTAAATTGTGTATAATAGATTATGAGTCATATTTCTGTATCAGTTAGCCACTGTCAGTTGCGAATGCCTTATTCACATGTACATATAGCTTATGGTATGTCACTCAATATAGTCTAACTCTTTTATTCTCTAAAATGGACCATTAATTTTCTGTCTCATAGAAAATGTAAATGTAAAAAAAATTCATGTATTAGATGCTAAATGATAACAGATGAGATCTTAAATGTTTTTCTAGTTTTTACTTAACCAACACAACCTGCTTAAAATAAATGACTCTAAATGTGATTTTCTAACTTTTCTGTTTTTCTTACATATTTTCACTATATCATTGCCTGTCATCTTAGAGGGGACATATGGAGAAGAAGAAAAGTTTTTAAGATTTGGAAACTTTGTAGCCTTTAAATTCATATAAATGGCAGGAGTAGCTAACAAATTGTCAAGCCCTGAAACACTTGGTAGATCATTGAATTCAGTGCTCAATACTTAGTACAGTTAGTATGCGTGAAGTAATTTTGGGCTCATCTGAGTAATGAATTATAACAAGAATGCAGAAAAAATGATGTGTAGTTTTGTAAACCAGCAAAGAAGAAAAGACTGTGAAGTCTATGAGAAAATGAAATGTTCCTTTTTTTCCCTACTCCCCATCAAAAAACAGGAAAATAGAAAGTGTTCACATCACTTGGGCCAAATCCTTTTTAAGGTTCAAAATAAGCTAAACTTTGAAAGTTAGTAAGTTGTTTGAAATGTTCTATGTTTATTTCTCAACAAATGTTTGTTTTGATACTGTTGATTATGTATATTATAATATTTCTGTGTTTGCTAAAATGCAGTTAAGGCATATAAAATTAAATCATTAAGGATATTTTTACAGATTCTAACATCTATCCAGAAATACACTTTATACTTATTACAATTATTGATTGATTTTTCTAGTTAAACAGTTTCACTGAGTTTATTGCAGTTGTCAAAGTCATAACCAACCATCTTAATGGGACCACTTATGTACTTTTGTATAATATAGAGCACAAAAATATACAAATTTGCTTTATTAATTATGTGTGAAACTGTTTTGTAAGTTGATTATTATTCCTAAATCCCTTCAGTATAAAAAAGGAACTTAGTGATTTCATCTACAGTACATATGAAATTATATCCTTACCTGCCATGATTATTTTGGGAGTTAAAATTCTTTCTAGAAAAGAAAGCCCTTTTTTATACTATCTATGACTCAATTAATGTGTCAGTTAGCTGTTGCTATGTAACAAGCAACAACAAAATCTCTGTGGCAGACAACACTAAATATTTTGTTTTTCAGATGTCTGCAGGTCTCATTTGTCTTGACTAAGCTCCTATTAGTGTGCAAAGTGCAAAGTAAAGATACAGCTTATTTCCATTTGCCATTATCTTTTATGTAAACAATTAATTTGAGTCAAGTATATGATACCAAATCTTTGATTATCCTGTACTTAAGTCTGTAACAGAGTTAACTGTGCAGTAAACTTACTATCAAGGTCTAGGTTTCCTACTGGAAAAATAAAGATAAAATTGTACATTTGCATAAGTGTGCTTCAATAAAGTGGTAAAAGATAAAGAATGAATGATCAATCATTTAAAAATAGAATATAAATGAATATAGTAGCAATTTAGATTGGATTAAATGATTATAAGATTTTTGAAGAGTAGAATAATAGTGACAGTAAAATCAGGCAGTGTTGAAACTGTATACAGGATGCAAAATAGAGTATCATAGAATGATTCTAAAAAAACAGAGGCAATAAGAAAACAAATGATAATTACTAATATTCAGTAGGGAGCTCTGGTAGCATAGTGGCTAAGGCACTTGACTGCTAACCAGAAGGTTGGCGGTTCAAACCCACCAGCCACAGTCCTCGGAAGGAAGATGGGGCAATCTACTTCCGTAGTGATACTGCCTTGGAAACCCAAGGAGGGGTCGCTATGAGTTGTGTCTGACTCGACGGCACATAACAACAAAAACAACAAATACTCAGTAGTGTTAGTAGATGGCAGCCACCGATCCAAGCATTTTACATATGTTACTCATCTAATTCTCCCCAGAACCCTATGAAATAGGTAGGATTATTATCTCCACTTTACAGATGAGAAACTCAGACAAAGTAATGTTAAACAACACAGTAGCCAGTTTCACCCAGCCAGGAAATAAGAGAGTTAGGTTTCACGCCCAGGAATTCTCTCTCCCTAACCACATTACTCATCACTCTGAGACAATACCTGTTAGTGCAAACTGTCCTGGCACTTCATGAAACTTTCGCAACTACTATTTCTTTGCAATTATCATCTAAACTTTACCCCCAACTATGAATCATATACAACAGCAGTTCATTATTAACTTATTTTGGATTCTTCAATCCCTGCAGAGCTATTTTGTACCTAATTTGGAGGTACAGTATCTTTGATATTTTCTGGGTCATAGCATCATGTTAGCCAATACTCTTTTTTTAAAAAAGTTGTGATTTGGTTGAAGATTTACAGAGCAAATTCACTTTCCATACAGCAGTTCACATATACTTTGTCTCATGTCA